GTTTTGAAACATCTGAGTGTGTAACATGTCACAGGAATGGCCTTGGTCTTAGTGACTGCCAGATATCAGAGTGTCTAAAGTGAATCTTTCCTTACATAGAAATTTGCTAAACTCTGAATTGTGTTACACTTTTCAGGTGGTATTTACACACTTCCTGAGTTATCAGAACACCAAATGGTGATTGATCAAAAGACATGAAATAAATTTCTCTTTTACACTTTCACTACATTTCTGTACTACTTCCCATGAGGTGGAAGTATGGCCTTTGTTTGCCTTTTTCCTTTTATGCCCTTCAGGCTGTGACTTTTTGCAGAACTTTCTGACAGGCTGTTTTCTTTGTGATTTTTTGTTTGTTTCTTTGTTAGTTTTGTTTTGTTTCCTCACTAACAAAAAGTCTCTCTGAGGACAACTGATTTTATACAGTTTGACAAATGAAAACTTTTCGTGTGAAATTTTGTGTGAGGCAGGTCATGTCTCAGAACTGTCACTCTACAGAGCTGTCTTTGGGCAGTGTCTCCTAGATCATCTTGTGAATAGAAGGAGCTGCTTTCATGTACCTTGTTTCTCTGAACTATGGTGATCCTGACAGGTGTAAGCTGGACGAAGCATGGCTGAGCATGGACACTGGTACATCATTTCTGTTATCATGTGTTCACAGTCTCAAGTAAATATTTTCTAGTGAAATATTAGTACAGAATTATCTTTATGGCTTTCTGTTTAACATCTAAATCAAACACAGGGCAAAGTTATGTGAGTTGTATTTTGGTAGTACACTTGTGTGAGTCACAGAATTTGGAGATGGATGGATAGTTGGTCTTATTGTCTGTTTGTGATTTTCCATGAGAATGAATAACATAGCTCAGTGATCTTTAGTGCAGCATTCTCCTATATTAATGCTGTGCAGAAAGGAGATTAGTTCTTCTACTCAAAGTTGTTTTGCCAATTTTCTGTAAGAACCCAAGGCTTCAATGAAACCCTGGTGAATAAACCTAGAGCAACTGTACACATACCCCATCTCAATCCTTCATGGTTTAGGACTGTACTTTCTTAAATAATGAGTAATGCTTATAATAATGTAGTTCTGTCTCTCAGATTATGGAAGATTCACTCACACTACCTGATCCATTTTATGAGATTGTTTCCCAAACTCTATTTATGAAAGCAGAATTAAATCAAAGATTGAACTTTGCAAAAACAACATAAGAAGGTAAATTTAAAAATTACATTTTATTTTTTCATGGAATCCTTAATTTTTTTGATACAAGGAATTGAATGAGGACTTTGAGTTTGTCAAGCATGTGTTGTGCTGCTGAGCTATATCTCCTGCCTCTAAAATATTATTTTGATAATATGTGCCAATTTAAAGGCATGCCTTTAAAGCACTGTAAGTAGGGGCTGGGGATTTAGCTCCTGCATGAGTTCGATCCCTGGTACTGATAAAAAAAGAAAATTTAAATAAATAAATATGAAAAACACTCTAAATATATATTTTATAGTTTTCATAGAATAGCTGCAAAAGAAATAAGTGTGTGTCATTTATAAAACATAAAAGACAGAGCAGAACACTAAGTAGTCAGATACCCACATGAATCAGAGATATTTAATAATCAGATACATATTTTCCATGTTTCCCTGGAGCAAATGGCAGGACCACACATTACTTTATTGACTGTGTGAATGGAGAAAATTGTGTTCCTTTCCTTTACCAATACTTTAGAAAAAATGAATTTTTTTAGTTTTGCTATCAAATTTCCAATTCAAAAATCAAACTTTCCATAATGTTTAAACCACATACTTCCTTATCTTTGATTTTTTAAATTGTGATCACTCAATCATTATGACTGAGGTTTCTCTCAATCGTTTACAGAGCATATGTTCTAAGTAGCTATGAATGTTGTGTTAATCTGTGATGTTGAAATGATAAATCTGTAACAATATGTGTCTGTATCTATGTCACTTTGTCAGAGTTGTATTGTTATTGCTTTATAAAAGCTGTTATAAAGCAAATATCAGCATCACATTGGCAGATAATCTCAACAGTTTACTGTCACCATATTCTGCAGTAAAAGGTTTACACTTGAGCCTGATAGCTTGGCAGACCTTTCCTTTCGTGCTTAAGGAAATCATAGAAGCTTTGAGTCACTGTGAACTGCCTTGACTGTGAGAATGTTTATCATTTATCTAATTAACAGCATATGAAAGAACCTTCAGGATTTACATAAAATATCAGTTCATTTAAGATTCTTTTATCATGTGATTATAATGGAGTGAAAATAATTTGGAATTCATGGTCCTAATAATAAAGATTAACATATATGATCACTGTTTTGGATTCATCTTGCATGATTTTCTAGAATATATGAACTATAGAGTCTTGGAAGATTAAAAAACATTTTAATTTCATGTGTCTCATAAACATCTATTGTATACTATTTTGATATTTGTCATGGCTTATGTCAGTGGCACCCAAGCTTCATGCAATTATGCATTTGCTAATTGTTCATTGTCTAGCACTCAGATTGGTGGTGTGAGTGCTACACCCACTTAGGAGTGGAGCCAGGATATGATGTAATGGCAAGAAGAAGATGTGTGTCTCTCTGTCTTGCAGATTAGCATCTTGCAGTTTGCAGCTGCCATGAACTACAGCCCTGCCATGCCACCATAGCTTGGAGCCAACTAAGGCCTGAAATCTCCAAGAACTGTAAGAAATGAACCTTTCTTTCTCTAACTTTGGTGTCAGGTATCTTGTCTCAGCAATGAGTAAAAAGTAACTAAGATAGAGTTTGGTACCTGCGGATTGGTGTCACTGCTGTGACTAAACTTGATCATGTGGATCAAGAGTCCTTAGAAATGGTTTGTAGGAAGAGCCATGTAGCTGTGATTTAGAAAGGTTTGAAGATGTCATCTGAACGAGTGGTGCTGGAACAGCTTAGGCTATTCTGTAGGGGAGATTCTGGTCAGAGCTCAGGAGACTGTAAGGCTGATAGAACGTCTGCCAGTAAAGATCAGGCTTAGGAGGTTTCTGCTGGGAAGAAGGACTGTATTGGTTGTTGGACTCTTATTGATGTATGTTATGGCTTGGCAGAAAGTTTGTCTGAATTTTACTCCTATCCAGAGGCTTTGCCTGAGACTAAGATTAAGAGCATTGGACTGATTAATATGGCAGAAGAAATTTCAAAGCAGTTGAAGTTGAGACCATGGCATAGATATTGTTGAGGGTTTTAGATTTAAGTTGCAAACCAAGAGCCAGGAACCCAGCAGTGTAATTTAAAACACTGTGAATTTGATCAGAAGGAAAACTCTAGTAAAGCTGTGGATTGTAAAGCTCAGGTTGTTGTTGAAGAGGAAGAGAGAAATAAAAGTATGACTAGAGGGCATCCCAGAAGCAGTGGGTCTCCATGCTTTGCAGCCTCAAAACTGCAGAAGTTTTGAGGCTCAGAGGAGAAAACTGCTGTGAACTATGCTCCAGAATGACAAAAGAGGCCACATGAGGTTCCAAAATGGCGGCAGCCATATGAGATTTAAAAATGGTGGCAGTCATATGATGCTTCATAATGGTGGCAGCCACACAAGGTTCCAGAATGGCAGTGACATTAAGGAAGCTTTTCCTCATAATCAACTTCACAGAGCCCGTGATCCAGGCACTGGACTTCTATAGCCAAGAGAGTGAAAAGCCTGTCAACTCTCCAGCTGGCAGCAAACCTTGGTGGTATCCATGTAGCTCTGATTTTAGGTGCAAGAAAAATGCACAAACTCTGAGGGTAAGATGGCTTCCACCTCAATTGCAAAAGACCTAGGAGAGCAAGATAGTGCCTCTGAAAGGGAAATATGTAAAAATGCAAGGGTAAAGACAAAGGTGCAGTGGGGACCCCAGAAGTATGGAAAAGCCGGAAACATGGATCATCCAAAGAAAGCTGCAAAAATTGAACAAAGGGAGCTTGAGAGAAACTGTGGGAGCTGATAGCTCTGGTAGTGCTTTAGGGTAGAATAACCCAAGCCTTTTGGCACTTACAACCAGATTTTTTCAAATGCTGAACATGGAACTCTAGGACTTAATGTTCACCCTACTGGATGTTGGACTTGCTTTGTTTCCAATGCTTTGTATTCCCATGTGTGTAACTTTTGGAATGGTAATGTTTATCTTGTTCATTTGCATTTTGGAATGGTTAAACCTCATTTCATTTGTACAGAGGGTTACAGTTAAGCATTTACCATAGATCTGGAGGAGACTTGGAACTTAGACTTTTCAGCAATTGTGAAACTGTTAGGACTTTGGCAACTCTTGGAGATGGACTAAATGACTTTTGTATAAAAGATGTACATGAGTTCTGGGGGCCAAGACTGAAATGTCATGGTTTATGTCAGTGGCCCACAAGCCTCATGCAATTATGCATTTGTGATTGGTTCATTGTCTAGTACTTGAATTGGCAGTGTGAGTGCTACACCCAACTAGGGGTGGAGCCAAGATATGATGTAATGTCAGGAAGAAGGTATGTCTCTCTCTTACCTATTAGTGCCTTGCAGTTTGTGGCTGTCATGAACTGTGGCCCTGCTATGCCACCCCCTTCAGATAAGTCAAAATAAAGATATTTCTGGTGTAACATAAGAGTATATGCATATCCCATAAGCAGTTACCGCTTGAGAAGGTCTTAGTTTCAGATACAGACAAATCTCACTCCCAGCTACTACAGTGTAGCTCACACTTTCTCTACCATTTCAAAATACAAAGGTGGACAGGACATTGTGTCTGATGAAGAAAACTAAAAATTGAGAAAGAAACATGGAAACACTTGCAATCAAATGTCCAGTTTTCCCAGAGGTGCTGTGTGGTTTTCCATCTCCCATCAGAAAAGGTGAGTTTTGAAGTAGAAAGGATGCCTGGGGAGGACTTATGTGTTCTGATGAAGACATTGTGTTGACCAAGTTGATAATGGTGGTAGTTTTTATGATAAATAATTTTCTTTAATTTTTTCCTCAGATTTTTATTGTCTTTTGTTATGATGTCAAAGAAAGAGAGAACATTTTCCAGGTTTCTTGATGTAAGAAGCACAGTTTTCTTTGAAATCACCATCGGGATCACTGCCAACACTGTCCTACTTCTGTTCCACATCCTCACATTTCTCCTCAAGCAAAGGCCAAAGCCCCTTGACCTGACTATCACTCAGTTGTCCCTGATCCACCTGGTGATGCTGGTAACCATGGGATTCATAGCTACAGACACTTTTGAGTCTCAGCGTTGGGAGAATGTCCTCACATGCAAATTGGTTATCTACATGCAAAGATTGATGAGGGCCCTCTCCATCTGTACCACCTGTCTGCTAAGTGTCCTCCAGGCTATCACCCTAAGCCCCAGAAATTCTTGTTTGGCAAAATTCAAACAAAAATTGTCACATCATTATCCATGTTGCCTTGGATTTTTATGGGTCTTCAATATGCTCCTGAATGGTCGTTTCTTAGTCTCCATTGGTGCCACCCCCAATGTGACCTCACAGAGTCTTGTGTTTGTCACTGAATCCTGCTCTCAGTGGCCTATTAATTACTTATTCAGGTACATATTTTTCTCATTGGGCAATGTTCAAGATATCTCCTTTATAGGACTGATGACTCTATCCAGTGGATACATGGTGAGTCTTTTGTGGAGGCATAAGAGGCAGTTCCAACATCTTCACAGCATCAGCCTTTCTCCAAAGGCATCCCCAGAAGAAAAGGCCACTCGAACCATTCTGCTGCTCATGGGGTTTTTTATGCTTATGTACATTTTGGACTGTGTTACTTTCTCCTCCCGTTCAATATTGTGGAACAATGACCCAATCCATCTTTGTGTCCACATGTTTGTGGGCAATGCCTATGCAACAATCTGTCCTTTTGTGCTACTTAGCACTGAAAAACGAATGATTGAGTGCGTAGCATCCAGGTGGAAAAGACAATAAATGTACAAGTATACACTGATGGATGCTTTATTTTGAGATAAACAAATTCTTAAAATTTTTCTTGCACCTTTGAAATGTATGTATTTTTATTTTTATCTTTAAATATATTTCCTTTGATACATGTGTGTTTTAAGTACATAAGAGATAAGTTAACAGTATAACTATTTGAATAAATACAAGCTTATCTTCAGTGAACCTTTAACATTGTTACTCCTCAAAGTTTTTGACAGAATTTTTAGTATTCACAAAGTCATTCCTAGTGTATGACTACTCTGATTCCACAATCAGATATAAATTCAAACAAAAAGTGAACTATAGACCAATTTCAGTAATATGTACACAAATATCCTCACTTAAATACTTGCAATAAAATACAGAGAATCATCAAAAAGATCACCAAACATCAGGACCTAGTAAGCCTCATCAGGGAGATGCAAGAGTATCTCAAATCATGCACATCAATTAATTTAATACATCACAAAGAGAAGCAAGGATATAGACAATATGATTATCTGAATAGACTCAGATAAAACCTTTAACAAAATGCAGCATCATTGCATAATAAAACACTGAAGAAAACACACAAATATATATTAAGAAAAATTTAAAGTTTTTCATTTCAGTTAGAATCTCTATCACCATTATCACTCCCTATTAAATGTAGTCCTTGAAACATTGCCAAGAGCAATTAGGCAATAAAATATTTGAAGAGATATTGACTAAAAATAGATGTCACTGTTTGCAGATGATATGATCTTGTACATAGAAGACATAAAATGAGTCCACCAAACGGCTCTAAGAATTAATAATGAAATTCAGTAATGTAGCATGATACAAAATCAAAACAACTAAATTGACAGTGCTCTCTATGCTAGTTATGAACGTAACTGAGAAACAAATTATGAAAAATTTCAATTCACATTAGCACCAAAAATCCTTATATACTTAGGAATGAGCTGCAGCACTGAAAGAACTACAACAGAAAGTACATAATGTAAGAGACAAAAATCAGAGACAACATCAGAAATGAAACTATATCCTATATTCCTAGATAGGCAAATTAAATACAATAAAAATGATAATACTTGCATAACTGAAATCCACAATCATAATTAAATACTGACAGCATTCTATACCAAATTAGAGAAAACTATCCTGGAATTGTTACTAAAGCAAAGAATTACAATAGCAAAAGCCACCCTTGGTTACCAAAAATAAATCATGAAGCATTAAAATCCCATAGTGAACATCAAAGAACAAAACTTCAGTGATAAAAACAGCATGCTACTAGAAGAAAGACAGACATGACAGTCAGTAAAACAGATCAGAGAAGACACATACATCGTCAAGTACATTCAACTATTTGATCTCTGATAAACGGACCAAAAGAAGAAGGAGAGATCTCTTTCACAAATGGTGCTGAGAAAACTGATCATCTGTATGCAGAAGATAAATATCTCACTAGGCACTAAACTACAGTCAAAATGGGTGAAATAAAGTAAAAATGGAAACAGTTACTCTGCTGGAAAATGAATCCGATAAAACTCTAAATCATAGTATGAACTTTCTGAACAGAAACCCTGGTTGCAGAGAAAATGGAAGCATCAACAAATCAAGCATCAACAAATGGGATCATATCAATTTAAAAAGCTTCTGCACAGCAAAAGAAATTATCACCAGAGTATAAATCAACCTTTGGAATCAGTAAACATTTCTGGCAGCTATTCTTCAGTTGAAGGACTAATATACAGAATATATGAAGTATTAAAAATTACAACAAAACATAAATAAGATAGAATCAAAAACTGGGCATCTTAAATTAATAGACACTTCACGGAGCACAAGCAGAAATGGCCACTACATGTATGAAGAAATACTTACCATCCAAGGCCGTTAGAGAAATACAAATCAAAACACTGAGATTCCCACTTATGCCAGAAAAAGTGGTCATCCTGAAGAAATCAAATCCTAATGAACATTAAAGAGAACATGGAGAAAGTAAATCCTTCCTACCATTTGTGGAAATGTAAACCACTATGATCAGTATTTAATCAATGTAGAGTTTCCTAAAATAAGGCAAACTAGATATTACACCTGACTTCAATTTGACATAATCATTTACAAAATTAATGATAGTTTCTTTTGAATAACACCATGACATTCTCTGGTAGGGCAGTTACCTGCTAGTATTCCTAAGCCCTTCCCATCTTAATGTCACTGCTATCATTAATTTCTCTTACCTATACTTATAGTCCCTAAATACGGTGTAGACTTTTAAATTTTGCACGAACTGATTTTTGTTAGGTCTACTAACAACAATTAAAATTAGGTTTAATGTCAAACCTCTTTTTTATTCTTTCTCTTACATTCTTACTTTATTCATGAGATTTTAAGTTTCTGATCTACAAAATCAGCATTCTTTCTGAAATTCAGGACTTTTTACTTGCTAAATGGGTGTGCTTCCCCTGAGACATGTGCTGAGTGACAGCATTATTCCTGAAGAACTCAGAACTTTCTTCAAAGCAGATATACTGACCAACTATCTGCTCAGATTTTTGTTTTATTTCCATTTTTATTTATCCTTCACTTAAAAATTACATTTATTTGTAGAGCAGATTTAGATTCATGGAGCAATTGTGGAGATGGTACAGAGATTTCCCTACTGCCTGCCTCCATCTGGGTACCTCTATACTATTACCAACAACCAATCATATTTTATGCTTATTTTTAAATTCAGTAAATTTACAATAGCATCCCAAAGCCTATACTTCACACATGGACATATTCTTGGTTTTATATATTTCCTGACTTTGTGAAGATGGTGTTATGACAGACATCTACCATCACGTACTTTAACTTTCCTACAACTCCTCTGCATATGGTGACATCTCTCCTGCTAATCCTTGGAAAGCACTGACTTTTGTAAACTGTCCATAGCTTTGACTTTTCCAAATGTCTTATAGTTGTAGTAAAGCAGTATGCAGCTCATTTAAATTATTTCCCATGTAATATGACTTAATCCTGTTGTGTTCTTAGATTGATAGTTCTTTTTATCATGATGAATATTCTTCCATTTCTCTACAAGTAGTTTGTCCATTCATCTACTGAAAGAAATCTTAATTACTTAATTACTTACTTAATTACTTAAATACTTAGTGTTTTAACAGTTATGAATAAACTTGATTCAAGCTTTCCTGAGAAGGATTTGGAATATTTATATTGTAATTTCATTTAGCTAAATCCCCAGGAGTATGGTTATGTATTATTGAGGTAAGAGTATATTTCATTTTTCCAGAAGTTGTAGTAATAAAAAAGAAATTGTCATAATGTCTTTCCAAAATATCTTCACTCCTTTGAAGTGAATGAGAGTTTCTAGTTATTGTTAGGAATTTAGTTATTCTAAATGAGGTAGAGTTTCATTCACTTAGACAATTTCTCTGAGTGGAATAAATTTGTCTGAATTTTAGTCTCATTATTTTGCAATTTATTCTTGAAAATTACATATTTGTATCATGTAATGTTTACATTCCTTGTGTGTAGTTGTTACATAATACATCTTAATTCCTTTTTTTTTGTTTTGTTTTGTTTTCCTCCTTACTACCTACAGATTATCTCTTAATCTATTTTCCATTTGAAAGGGATCTGTCTCTATTCTTCTTGTTGTCTATCATTGCTGTGGTCTTCTTTATAACTTGTGCTTCTCAGTATTATGGCTTTTCTCTATGTGTCCCTCCAAAGCCTCATGAGAGCACAGGCATGGCTTTCAGGACTAACTGAGGCATGGATGTGTGATATTGTTTCTTCCCTGTACAAAACTGGATTACCTCACTGACTGGTTTAACATAGGTCTGGGTATGAGTGATGGAGAAATAGCAGAAGAAATCTCCAGTCTTAGTTTGGTTACACTATCAAGTAGGCTTTGAGTCTAAATGCATAAGAATGCAAAACAGAAGGAATTCTGCTGCCTCCTACCTGCCACACTATGAACTCTTTTTCCTCCTCCATGATGCCCTTCTTTGGAACCAGCCTCTTATTCATTGAAACCTCTCCAAATGAGGCTAAAATAAATCATTCCTCTCCTAACTAGCAGGAGTTGGATATTTGCCCCTCCAATGAGAAACTGACCAAAACATTCCTATAAGAAATATGTGGCATTTAACTGATGTATTTTATTTCACTTATTCAGGTCTTAAAATGCATCCATTTTTTCTTCAAGAGACTAAAGTTGTACCTTTCTTTATGGCACAGTAATAGCCTATTCTGTCTAAATACAGTGCTTTCTTTTTTCCTTCCTCTGTTGAAGAGCATATAGGCTGCTCCCAAGATTTAGCTATTATGAATTGTGCTGCTGTAACATTGATATGTGTATATCACTGTAATATAATGTCTTTAACTCTTTGAGGAAGGTACATGGCTAGTATTGTGAGTTTACATTCCCATCATCCATATAGAAGGTTTTCTTTTTATTTAAAAAAGAGAAAAGTCAGAAAAGAAACACAAAAAGCAAAGGCATAAACAACAACAGCAGACTCAAAACATTAACAATACAGGTCTTCAAAACAGAATGAAAGAAATTTAACAATAGTTGTCATATTGCATATTGTTCTCTTTTTTCAGATGAAGAAAGTAAAATTAAAGAAAATAGAAAAACAGAAAAGAAATGTAGAACAATACCTAATTTAAAAAAAGTATCAGCATATAATCACTAGTTGATACATTAATCATTGTTGTCTTAAAAAAATAGCTACCAAAGTCACAAAATCAAAGTGTAAATTATGGCTAGACACTCAGACATTGATAGTGCACATTCTGTTCAATGTTCCAACAAAAATTCAGTAATATGGTCATCTATATTACACACTATGCGTACCACTATACTCTTTAGAGCACTTCCCTTCCCATTCTCTTTACTCTATATGCTTTTATTGTTATTTTTTACACTAGAGAGATAATGTGATGTT